TGTGCGTGTGTGCGTGTGTGCGTGTGTGGGTGTGTGCGTTTGTGCGTGTGTGCGTTCGTGTGTGTGCGTGTGTGCGTGTGTGTGTGTGTGCGTGTGTGCGGGTTTGCGTGTGTGGGTGTGTGTGTGGGTGTGTGGGTGTGTGTGGGTGTGGGTGTGTGTGTGTGTGTGTGTGCGTGGGGGTGTGTGGGTGTGAGTGTGAGTGTGTGGGTGTGGGTGTGGGTATGTGGGTGGATGTGTGGGTATGTGTGTGTGGGTGTGTGTGTGGGTTTGTGTGTGTGGTGTGTGTGGGTGTGTGTGGGTGTGTGTGTGGGTGCGTGTGGGTGTGTGTGGGTGTGTGTGTGTGTGGGTGTGTGTGGGTGTGTGTGTGGGTGTGTGTGGGTTTGTGTGGGTGTGTGTGTGTGTGTGGGTGCGGGTGCGGGTGTGTGTGTGTGTGTTTGCGGATCGTTTTCGGTTCTTGTTGCATCACCGAAGGTCAGCATCACATGTTGTTCACAAGTGCTGTGATGGTGTGCAGAACTGTTGGTCGAGAAGGAACAATTGTCACTTCACTTGCACATGTGCAGCGGCGATGTGGTAACGAATCGCGCCACCGACCTTGCATGAAAAGCTCGAAACTGCTCACGACACGATTCGGGTGAAGACCGCTCCACCAAGGATAAAGGCTCTGGCCAGTGCATGGCCCACTGACTCAGATGTTTGTATTGCCCTGGTCTGCCTCTATTCCCAGCTGGCCAGGTGCGTCTGTCGTTCTGGTCTGCGTTTGTCCTTGGCAGTTCGGATCGAGCCCTCGTTCAAACACCACCTTAGTCCCCTGTGGCGCCCTGCGCTCATCCTTCTTGAAAAACCAGAGGGATCCAATGCCGCGCGGCAGCTCTAGACAGCTCGCGACAGGAGATTCGGGCGAGAACCGCTTCACGAAAGCAAAGGACTATGGCCATCGTATCGCCGACATCACCACCATCATTATGGTGATACCTTCCCGCCGCCTCCCCTGCCCAAACTCGAACTACTCTCTCTGGCCTCGGATGAGGATCTGTGCCCGAAAGCCATGGTGACCGATGCCCGAGTGCCATGGCCAACAAGACGGCGGACGAACTCGGGGAGGACAAGGACGAGCCCGCGCTGTCGCGGCCAGAGCTCTTGGGCCGCTTGCTCGCGGCAGGCCCTGCGGATGGGAGGGAGGGGTTGTGGAGGCGGGAGCCAGGGAGAGGTGCGCTGGGAAGGAGAGCTTGCGGCTGCCAGAGGTAGCTCTGACCCCAGGTGCGAACCCTCCAGTTTTGCGCGCCACTCCGGAGCCCCAGGGGCCCTCTGCACTTCGTGACGGGGGCCGCTCGGGAGGCCGTCTGGGCCCACCTGGAGGAGCCAAGGGCGGGCCGTCCTGGGCCAGGGCCATTTCAGGCAACGCAACGCCCGTGGGGAGAGGCCAGGAGTGGGAACCTCCATTCGCGGGGCCCCTGGTGGATCTGAGTTTCTTGCGGCGTTGTTGCCAAGCCAGCAGCCAGGCTCGGGGAGGCTGCAGCCAGAAGATGGCCAGCGGACGAGCGGCCAGGCAAAACCCTTGCGCATATCATGCCAGAAGCGGCATGAGCAAGTAGACGATCCAGCGTTGCGCGATGCTCCTGGCCCCGGCCGCTCTACGCGTTTTGGCCGCAATGCAAGAGCGTATGCGACACGGGCATCACAGCTTTATCATGACAAAACGGACGTTCATAACACATGCGTGTTCCACATCATGTTGCAGCGTGTTATGCCACATCGCGTCGCATAACACACGCAAGCACTTGGTTGCCCGCCTTGCAGGCACGCCTGCAGTCCGCTTGTATCTCCTTGAGCACAATCAAGCGTACATGCATGCACGGATATGCTGTGAGGTCGGCGAGGCGTTTCACAGTCGCTCGCCCCATGAGGAGGGCGGGGAAGCGACTGACTGGAGCAACACACTCCTGACAGACCCTCGACTGGACAGGAGGCGGGGTTTGACTGAAAGGATGGGGCACTGGCAGAGCACGGAGAAGGAAAATAGCACTGCAGGAGCAGAGTGGGCGAGGAGGTGGCCGCGAGAGCGCGGGCAGAGTAAGCGAGGCGTGCGCGTCGCGAGGCTCAACCGACGCGCCCCCTCCTCTGCGCGGGGCGACCTGAGCTGGCGGATGCCCGAAGGACGTGGCCCCAGCTTTGGAGGAAGGTACCTGCCTGCCTGATTACGGTGGGGGCATTGGTTCAGGAACGTGCCCAGGAGGCCTCAGACCCTGCAGGGCTTCTTATCCGATGTGGGCGGCGGTGTGGTCCATGGCCAACCCACGATGGGCTGCCCACTGGCTTCCAGGCCTTGGATTCCTCATCGAAGGTCTCCTTATCCAATGCCATCACCGCAGAACTACGGTAGAGGGAAACTAGTAAACACCCCCCCTGCCCCGCAAACTCAAAGTTGGCACGCACGGGGGAGACTGCGGTCGAGGTGCAACTCACCAGACCCACCGCCAACTTTGAACATTCAGGGGAGGGGGGGGCGTTAACAGATGAATGTGGATTGAGTATTCGCTATTTTTTCCGAGGCCTGTATCGAGGGGGGGGCGACCAGGCCTGAGCCCGCGCGGCTCTCCCCAGCCCCGAGCCAGCCCGCCCCCGTGTAGGCGCGCCGTCCTGAGCCTGGGCAGGCGGCGCCCTCTTGTCCCTGGCCGGGGCCCCGCGAGAGCCGCGCGGCGCGCCCTGCGGCTCGCGCGAGTGGCTGGCACTCGAGCGTGCCTGTAGGCCTACCAAACAATGTTCTGAGAACCTTTTGTGGTTTCCACGACATGTTCTCAGAACCTTTCTGGCTTGGACGGTCTTTTTTTAACACATCGGGCTTATGTTATAAGGACATTGTTTTTGTTTTTAGAACATGTTTGGGGGTTCTAAGAACATTTCGTGGTAGGCCTATAGGAATGCCGGGACGGTCGGTCCCTGCTCAAGGCACTGTCCCTGGTTCGCGCGCGCCAGCTCCCAAGTCCCTCTGTCCCTGTCGGCTCTCCCTCTCGGCTCGTGCGACGTGGGAGGGGCACGAGGCATTCAAGAGAGGGCCTCCTCTTCGAGGCATCGAGGAGTGGGCATCTGTTCCTCGGCGGAAGGCGGCGGAAGGGCGGCGGAAGCCTCGACGGCTCAAGACGGTTGCGTCGCAGCGACGGTCGTGCCAGGTCGCAAGTCCTGGCCAGTGCTTGCCCCCCCTAGTCGGCCGCGCCATGTGGGCAGTGGGGACACGGTGAGGGGGGAGTGCTTCGAGGACCACTGCGAGGTGAGCGTTCGCGGGGTGCCCGACCCGCGAGGACGGCAACACCGTGCTGGGCTGAGGTGGTTGCTGGAAAGAGGGCGCACGGGCGATGCGCGGCAAGCGTGCCTTGAGGCGAGCAGCGAGGCTCGAGCTGGTGGCAGGCGTGGCATGGTACCGTGGACAGAGGATTACACGTGCCTCAGCCGCGCAGATGGTCACTCCAGAGACTGTCGCGGAGTTGACCCAACTGCCACATCGAGCTGATGATAGAGTACTGGTGAAAGTGAAGACGGACGACGAACAACAAGAGCAGCGAGCCACATGGAAGCAGAGAACACTGAAGGTGTGGAGTTTCAGCGTGGAGTCGCTGCGTCGGGTGGGGAGGCTGGACGAGTTACTAGAGTTGGCTAGGAAGGAGAGCGTGGCCATCTTCACAATGCAGGGCACGCAGATGGATCTGGGAAAGACATGGAAGTCGGGTAGCTTTGAGGTGCACTCGCTGGCGAGGTCAGGGCGAGGGCAACGGGACGGATGCATCACTGCCATCAACCTCAAGTACTTCCAGAAGGGCGAGGTCAGATGTGAGCACGCGCGGTGGGAAGGGAAGATGCAAGGAGTACGGCAACGCAGTGAGAGCAAGAAGAGGTTCGAGCGGGACATCTACGTGTTGAATGGCTACACCCCCACTAACGAGGCGGGACATGTGCCAAAAAGAACTCAAGCTATGGAGTATAGAGAGAAGCACCTGGAGGCCAGAGATTTGTTCTGGCAGGTGTGTCGCCGAGCGGTCGGCCAAGTTCCAGCAAGGGCGTCGCTCATTGCCACGCTGGACGCCAACGCGCACGTCCCGCTGGTGCTGCCATGGGTGGGGTTCGCTGGCGTGCGTAGGAATGGCCCAACGATTAGTGCTAACGGCCACGCGCTGATGGAGCTCATGGAGGACTACGGGCTTATGGCACTGAACACGTTCGGCAAGAGAGGAAGATTCGACGGCACTTGGAGGAGCCCGCAAGGTACGTGGACTACGATTGACTACGCGTTGGTGCGGCGGCGAGGAGGATACGGACATTCGTCGTTCCCGAGGGCTGATCTCCTTGTGAACCTGGGCGGCTACAGGGACCACAGGCCATTGGAGTCACGCATCTTTGCGGGTGTGAAGGCGGCAAAGACATTGAAAGAAACATGCAAAGTTCGATGGCGGGGGGAGCTCATGAGTGCAGACTTGTTGAAGGTGCAGCAGGCTGAGGAGGACTCGGACAACTCGGTTAGGCTCCCCGACCGCGTGCTCAACTTCAGGCTTAAAGTCTTGGAGGGACGTGAGGCAAAGGGGCTGCAGGAAGACTGGGCCGACATTTGTGGGGCGGGCATGCGCTACGAGCCCCCATCGGAGTACTTCAACGAGATGGAAGGAGTTGTGATTGAGGCGGCGATGCAGGACTACATATCACCACCAGTGGCGGGGAAGAGGATAGGCACAGTGTTCAGTGAGGAGACAGTGAAGTTGATTAGGTCGCAGCAGCACTGGCAGTATCAACTGGCAGCCCTTCCTGGCGGAGCTCGGCGGTTGCGGGCGCACGTTCAGTCGAGGTTCAACACGGCGGCGAAGTTGGCGACAGCGGCTACCAGGAGTGAGAAACGACAGAAGACCGTAGCACTGACGGAAGAAGCTGAGCGAGCGGCAGGCCAGAGAAACTTGAGGTGCCTCCACCACATCGTGAATAAGTTAGCTCCCAAGCCTGCGGCACCCATCATGACAGTGAAAGATCCAGACACAGGGCTGCCGTGCTTCGACGCTGAGGACGACCAGCGAGCGCGCATTCGGAGCACATGCGAAGTGCGCGACGGTCAGGCGATGGAACTGGACGACAGACCCATCCAGGCAGGCAGGAATACGCGCGGCGACGACAGGACTGGCAGCTACGACATGGAGGCGGTGAAGGAGAGCATCATGGCGTTGCCCAACTTGAAGGGGGGACCCGCGCTTAGGTGGCCGAGATCTGGGCCGCCTGGAGGCGCTGTTGCTGAATCATGGAAGCTGGCGATTGACACGCTTGCGCCGCCCATCCTGCAGGTCTTTAACGCGGCTCGGTCTCTGGGTGACGCCCCACAGAGGTTCAAGGACGGCGAAACCATGCAGTTGCGCAAGCCGAAGGGGGATGGTTGCTCGGCGTCGAAGGACCATCGCACCACCAACCTGATCAGCCATGTGGGGAAGGCGTACGCTAAGGTCACGTCGCTTGCGGCGATGAGGGAAGTGGCGCACAAACTTTCACCGACGCAGTTTGGAGCCATGCCAGGGAGAGGTACACGAGACGCAGTGGCAGCGGCAGGAGAAGTGATTGTGCGCCATCAGCGAGCACATCGAGTAAAAAGAAGAGGAAGTTCGTCCAAACCACCGCCTATGCTGTTGGCAGTACTCACAGACATCGAGAAGGCATTCGACAGGGTGGTCAGGGAAAACATGTGGAGAAGCCTGGAGGCGCTTGAAGTTCGGTGGGACGCCCGATTGACCTTAGAGGAGCTCCATGAAGGTGTGTGCTACCTGTTCCGTGACGTTACCACTCATGAGCCTGTCGCACGGATTTGGGTCAAGCAAGGAGTGCGCCAGGGAGGAGTTGAGAGTCCTGGGCTATTCGCGGCTGTCTATGATGGGATAGTGCATCGCATATCGAACGAACTTCGCCAATAGGAGGTTACTGCCATAAAGGTGCATGTCGATCCCTCGTTGATGAAGATTCGGAGCAATGACGGCTTGAAGGAGGACGAGTGCGAGGAGCTGGATGTTTCGCAGCTAACGTTCTTGGACGACTTGCTCACGTTCGCGGAGATTGAGGAGTACGACAATGCATCCATCATACTGGAGGTGTTGCAAGGCGAAATTAAAGCCGGGGGCATGCGCGCCAACACCAGGAAGACGGAGATGCTGCCCACGCCGACTGGAGTTGGGAGCAAGAAAAGGTTGAAGGATATCCGTGCGCAGAGCACAGGCATTGTGACGTGGGAAGGGGAAGACTATTTCCCACTGCACCCACAACAGACGGTCAAGCACTTGGGGGCGCAGCTGGCGGCGACGGGCGCGCACCACGTGGAGGTCACCAACCGTATCAGGGCCGCCAACTCCACCCATGCGCGCTTGCTCCGCCGTGCATTCAAGAGCGGGTTTAGCCCCAAGTTGAAGATCCGATTATGGAAGGCATTGGTACGTTCGGCGTGCTTATACTGCTTGGAGATCGCCAACCTCACCAAGAGGGAGCTCAACAGGCTGGAGAGCTGGCAGGTGAGAAAACTTCGAGGATTATTAAATTCGCCAGCTCACCTGTACAAGAAGACCAATCGTGAGATCAGGAAGCAGGCCCGTACTGCGACGGTTGCGAGCACGTTGTTGCCACGGAGACTGAGGTGGTGGAGAAAGGTGCTATGGCCGGCCTTCAGGGAGCCCTGTGACGACCTGTACGACCCGACGCTTGCGGTCAGGGCAGTCGTCTTCGGACGCTTCTCGTTCGAGCAGGTTGGCCAGGGGGAGCAGTCGGGCCTGCCGACGCTGCTGCTGGAGGACGCGCGGCAGATGTGGCAGACTGTGGACGCACAGGAGAAGCTCGCGGCCCGTCGGCTTTTTCTGTTGCATGGCGACTCTCCTGGGCTGGCTGAGCCTTGGCTGCGCGGGCTCGCCTTCCTTGAGCCGCGCAGTTTCTGCCGTGTGCTGACTCACGGCGGCGAGATGGACACTGTGACTGACACGGCAGCCATCGTGTGGCTGGAGTGCGACCTGTGTGGGCAAAAAATGCAATGGGGAAAAGGGGTTCGCCAATCACAAACACGCGGCCCATAAAGTTCATGCAAACCCAGCAGCAGAAGCCCTCGCAGAGTTGGACTTGAAACTTAAGGTATATCCTCACTGCCAGAAGTTATTTACGAGAAAAGACACGCTGGTTAGACACGTTAAACAGAAACGCTGCACTGTCCGTTCCAGAGAAGTTGAGGCTCAAGCTAGACATTCAGAACCACCAGAGCCCGCTGCCTTCTCTGCAGTACCAGTACCTGCTGCGGCGGGCGATGTTCCAGCCGATAGGCGAGGCGCAAGTGACGGCGGGCAGCAACGAGAGCAAGAGGACGGCGGCAGAAGCAGGGGTCGCGGGCGAAGGCAAGGGCGACCAGCCCGACGTGGTGGGCCCCTTGGCCAAGGCGCTGGCGCGGCTGGTCCTGCAGCACGAAGACATGGCGAGGTCGGCGCGCAGGGGCGACAACTTCGTGATCCCGCTCAGGCCGACGCAGAAGATGGCGACCGCGCTGGACCAGGCTCTGGCGCACTACGAGGAAGAGGGCACCAAGGCCAAGGAGAAGGCGAAGGAGAAGCAGGAGGAGTTCATGGGCAACCCACTCGGCAAGCGCCCCGACGCGCTGGCGAGGGCAGTATTGTTCCGCATGTCGGAGGCCGTGGAGGACAAGAAGGATGCAGCGCTGGCGGCCGTGGAGCAGGGCATCGAACCGCAGGCCGCCAAGGCCGCGCTGGACGAACTCTTGAAGGTTGGGAAGATGGTGCAGGACCCGCAGTTGAAGTTCGCGGCGGCGAGGTGCATCAAAGTGAAGAGCAAGAACGACGAGGAGGGCCTAGAGGCAGGAGAGTGCAAATGGATCTTTGCGGTGAACCACTACCCAGGGTTGAAGGAGTCGCTAAATCTGCTGAGGCGCAATGGCGCACTGGCCGCTGTTGGGGCGGGCCTCCAGTACGACATCGCGACGAGGTCCAAGGCGGCGAAGGAAGTGGAGTCGCTGGCGCTCAAGGGCGGCAAGGGTACACAGACGAGCAGGAGCAAGAAGCTCAGGAAGAAGTAGGAGCTCGAACGCCGCCACCTGCTCTGGCCGCAACTGCGACGCCCACAGCTGCGACGCCAGCACCTACACCAGCATCGACGCCAGCACCAACGAGTGAGGGGAGAGGCTTTGCCGCTGCCGCCGAAAATAGTACTCCTCCCTCCGCCTTTACCTCGCCGGTGTACCTCCATGTCCCTCTTCCGACCACACAAACGCAGCTCGAGACATACTTTCGCAGGGGGCCGCGCTAAGAATGCGGTGGACCTTTTTGCGCCTTCCTCCCCACCAGGGGGGGGGGGAGCCGCCCCCGCAAGCGCCACTCCCGCAGGGGTGGGGGTGCGCGGGCGCGGGGCTGAGGCCAGTCGGGCCTGCCGCTCTGCACCCGCTGTCCGTTCCAGGGCCTCGTTTCCGATTTTGAAACGCGCCGCGTCCTTTTCACGGTTGTGCTGAAGCCCCCGCTAAACTTCCAAGGCTAAGGGGGCCGCGTTGAAAAGGAAGGGCGGCGGACGTCCGCGAAAGTGAAACGAGGCCGCTTCCGCCGGCGGACGCTGGCGGAAGCGTGGCGGAAGTCGGCCTCCCAATTGATGGTTGTTTTTTTGGTTCAGGGTTTTCCGATCTCGCCCACGTGCTTCGTGAGGTTATGGTTTTCTTCCCTCCCGCGTCGCACCCGCGTTTCTCACACACCCTCTCATGTTCACCTGTTCCCCTTTCCTCCTCCTCCTCCTCCTCCTCCTCCTCCTCCTCCTCCTCCTCCTCCTCCTCCTCCTCCTCCTCCTCCTCCTCCTCCTCCTCCAGCTCCTGGCATCCCGCCCGCGTCGTACCCACGTCTCCTACCAGACGCATGCAACACATCCGCGGCGTTGACATGAGACACGCGGCAGCATACAGCCGTGCACGCAGCACCCATGCACACAGCACACATGCAGCGCATATACACACAGGACACATACGCAGCATTGACGTGAGACACACGGCCACATACAGCCGCACGCGCGCACACGCACACACAAACACACACACACACACACACACGCGCGAGCGCTTTGCGTCGGCGGTTGGGCAGAGGTTATTGAGCATGGGGTGGTCCCTGAGCGCGGTCTCCACACGCGCCAATGTCACAAAGCCTAGCAGGCGTGGCACGTTGTCGACACCGCAGGGGGTGCGCTGGGGGTGGTACTTGAGCACATGTCCTATACGCGTCAATGTCGCAAAGCTGAGCAGGCGCGGCACTTCCTTGACACCAGAGGGGGTGCGCAGGGGGTGGTGCCTCAGCGCGGTATTTCTGCGTGCCAGGGCCCGAAAGCATGGCAGTCGTGGCACTTCCTCGACACAAGACGGGGTGCGCAGGGGGAGGGTTCTCAGCGCGGTCTCAATGCATCTCAGGGCTGGAAAGCGTGGCAGGCCTGGCATTTCTTCGACACCAGAGGGGGTGCGCAGGGGGTGGTCCCTAAGCGCGGTTTCTATGCGTGCCGTGGCAGCTGTGGCATTTCCTCGACACCAGACGGGGTGCACAAGGGGCGGTCTCTCAGCGCGGTTTCTGCGCGTGCCAGGGCCGGAAAGCCTAGCATGCGTGGCAAGTTCTCGACACCAGACGGGGGTACGCAGGGGGTGGTCCCTCAGCGCGGTCTCTACGCGTGCCAGGGCCCGAAGGCGTGGCAGGTGTGGCACATATTCGACACCAGACGAGGTGCGAGCGGTCTCTATGCGTTCCAGGGTCGGGAAGGGTGGCAGGCGTGGCATTTCTTCGACACTAGCAGGGGTGCGCAGTGGGCGATCCCTCTGCGCGGTCTCTACGCGTGACAGGTTCGGAAAGCGTGGCAGTCGTGGAACTTCCTCGACACCAGAGAGGGGGCGCAGGGGGTGGTCCCTAAGCGCGGTCTCTATGCGTGCCAGGGTCGGAAAGCGTGGCATGTGTGGCACTTCCTGGACACCAGACGAGATGCGCATGGGGTGGTGTCTCAGCGCGGTCTCTGTACGCGTGGGTCGGAATGCGTGGATGGCATTTCCTCGACACCAGAGGGGGTGCGCAGGGGTGGTCCCTCAGCGCGGTCTCTTTGCGTGCCAGAACCGGAAAGCGCTGCAGGCGTACAAGACACACAAAGGGCAGACCACACAACATACCAAATCTGATACACGACACACAACGCATGACGCGCGCACACACACACACACACACACACACACACACACACACACACACACACACACACACGCACAGACACAGACACAGACACAGACACAGACACAGACACAGACACAGACACAGACACAGACACAGACACAGACACAGACACAGACACATACACACACACAAGCAAACAAACAAACAAACAAACTAACTAACTAACTAACTAACTAACTAACTAACTAACAACCACACATGCAACGGGCCTTCGCAAACAGGCCCCCGGGCAGCTCCCATGGCCTGGTTCCTCGTACTCATTCGAGTGAAACGGCAAGAGGGCCCCAAGACGGCCCAAGAGGGCCCCAAAACGGCCCACAGACGGCCCCGAGGGAGCCTCAGATGGCCCCCAGACGGTCCAAGAGAGCCTCGAGACGGCTTCAGAGGCCAAAAACATTGATCCCATTAGGGTTTTTAAAGGTTGTTTGGGTTCTCTCTTGTTCGGGCCCAGAAGGGCTCAACACGGCCCACGAGGCCCCAAAACTCGTCCCAAGACGGCCCCAGGGCCCCCCCAAAGGGGCCGAAAACTGTCCAAGGGTGCCCCAAGAGAGCCACATGAGAGCTCCAAGAGACTCCCAAGAGAGGGCCCGAGGAGACGGTTTGGGGACTGGGCTGCTTGGGTGTGGGGACTGGGCTGGCCCCACCACGGCGCTCGAGATGGCCAGGAGGCCAAAAATATCGGTTGTGAGGTTTTTTCAACGTTTCTGGGGTTCTTGCTTTTTCGGGCCCAGAAGGGCCCCAGACGGGCACGCGGGAAGCCCCAGGAGATTTGGCAATTGAGGTTCCAGGCCCTTTTAAAGAACCCTCAGGAGTGAGAATTGAGGTTTAGAGGATTAGAACAAGGACCTGAGGACACGCCCACTCCGTGCCAAGAGACACGGTGGCGAATATCTTTCTCTCTGTGCTGTCTTTTGATCTTACACTTTATAGACCGTCTTCTCTCTAGACATCGCGCTCTGACTCACCCCCGCCTCACTCCCACTCGCAGGCGCGTCTGTCGAATTCAGAAGCGGCCATCCAAAGAAGAGTGTATCACGCTGCGCTGCCGCGCGTACCCGCCACAATGCTCGGGGCAAGAGCTAGTGGTACTGACACCTCTATAATCTAGTACCTGTGTTCAACTGCAGGATGTGGATAATCTCGCACCGCGCACTGCCATCGTTGATTGAGCATTCGTCTGCGTGCCCGCAAATATTTGCAGTACTCCTTTGTTGTCACGTACGTCAGAACAGATTGGGACAGGGTAGGGCGGAGGAGGAGGAGGAGGAGAGGGGAGGAGAAGGAAGGCGGTCTCACCGAGATACTCACCGAGACTTCTTGGGCATGCATTTTTGTCGAAAGGGGGGCTCTTTGTTTCTGCCGTGCACGTTCGAACTTGCAGTGGAAGGCCGCTTCGAAGAAAACACGCCAGTCACACAATTGTGCCGTTCGCAAATATGATATGGCTCCTGCCCTTGAGAGGTGCCGCGTGCCTGGCGCAGTGCCAGACGGTTCTCCCCCCATCCTCCTGTTTCTTCCTTGGGGGAGTTGGGTTCATGGCGCGGCACCGGCAGAACGGTCCAGTACCCCCAAGCGTGTCGAGACCATGTTTTTTTTGTCGGTGAGGGTTACGTCGAAAGAGTCTGGTACGCCCAACGCGGCGCGCCCATGGGAGCCTCCAGAAGGGGCTCTTGTCAGGATCGAAAAGACGAGAGATTTAGGTAGGTCGTGCATCACAACATATCGCCCAAACTGGTGCGCCGAAGCTGCCGGGGACCCCATTTGTACCGCTCATGGTGCTTTCGGTGGCGTAGGGATAGTCTGGTTCCCTTACCGTGTCGCGCCCATTTGGCCCTTGTTTGGAGCTCCCTTCGGGGCACGAAAGCAATGAGATGGGCGCCGATGCGCGGGACGGGAACGAAGAGGTAGGTAGGTGATGGGGAAGAAAGCAGTGTCGGCGCAGAGGCAGAAGAAGCCATTTCCCAAGCCTCTCCCCTGCTCCGCGGTCGTGAAATTGATGGGTGTCAGTCCAGGGTCGCCAGGCTGTCTTGGCAGCCGCAGTGCTGTTAGTGGAGGTCCTGGGACAGCCTTGGAGGATCTTGCGACCGTCCGGAAAGGGTCGGTAGATGGCTTCGGTGCCAGCTTGCCCCGTCTGAGGCCCGCATTGGCCAGGCTCTTGGGTCCACCCATGGCCCCTGTGGAAAGCCACCAGGACCAGGAGGCTTTTCGGAGCAGTCTCGCTGACAAAATTGTAGGATGATCGATCCGACCTTGTGAAGATGTTAGATCTCTACAACCGCGGCTCGGTTCTGGCACGATTCGCAGGAACTTTCTGCACTCCCTACATCGTACGGGCGGCTGGACACACCGCTGCAAGCGCGGTGGCGGATATTTTTTGTTAATGCAACCAGCGGCCGGCCGGCCGGCGCCTGCATTGCGAATCCCATGGCCGGTCACCATGCATGTGAGCATATCTCCGTCAGCGGGCGGGCGGATCAATATGGTTTGGCTTGCGCGCTCTAGAAAGCAGTGTGCCCGTCATCTGGTCATTTGTTTTGCAGCGCTTGTCTGTGTCCAGGCCAACGTGCGTGACTGATCTCGTATACTGGGTGAGCTTATTGGAGCATCTCCAGAACAAGGATGGCGTGGTCATTGGCCGTGTACGCGTGGAACAGCACCTTGCGATGGAAAGAACCACACTTCAAGCGTCTTGCGTGAGGCAACACTACCAAATACACTGTCTTTTTCAAATGCAGTGTCCATCTGCCGATTGTCATGCCCGATACTGTTGAAGGATACCCGTGCAGTGCCAGCCTTAGCAAGTGCGTCATTATCGAGATTAGGTAACAA